GGAAAACTGTTCATGTTACGATGCCCTCCATTTAGCTTCTTAAGAATGATGACACACTTTATCTGTGTCTTGAGTTTATACGTTTTTTAGCCTGCTTTGTAAAGCATGTAAGCACTAGCACGCAGGTTTCTAGTGACTTACCTTTCATAATATTAGTAATTTGTGGTGAAATACAAAAAGATACAACAACATTGACGCATCCCCACAGTACTGTTTAGTTTGCCATGTTTTGATTAATGTTGCAGCTGCTCCAGTTTTGTGGTATTACTTTTATACGTCTTTGCAATGAATGTGGAGCCGAATGACAATACTGTCAGTGTGATTAAGTCTTTGGAATGGACAAAGCCCTTAGACATGATCCCTCATGCAAGTTTGTATTTCCTTGAAAAATACAAAAACATTACCTGAACGTGTTTAAGTCTGTCAGCTACAAAATGCTTAATTTGATCTCTAATCACTCACTTTGTCTTAATTGTTATTTTTGCATTCAACTCAAAGGGAATTCCCTACGAGTTGTATTTATTCAGTATTCATTTTATCTGACGACCTCAGTGTTTTCTGGGCTGAACAGATTAACCTCACGGATAACTACAGGTTGTGTGTGGGGAGGGATTGAAATTTCTTTTGGAACATCTGAACTTCCAGTCTTCTGTTCAGACCGGTTAGAGTCCTATAAAAAGGGAAGCAATTGAAAGTATTAATTATATGTTTTTTTTCATGAAGAAAAAAGGTCTTGTAATTTGTATGTGTGGATAATTAATCTTTAGAATTAGAATACGTATTTTTAAATTTGTCTACTGATCTGATATTTTCTATTAAAATATCCTGCATTTATGGCCTCATTGCTTGCTTGTTAGGTAGACTTGCTTTTGAATATTGTTTTTTTTTATAAATAAATAATAAAAATGCTTTCATCTTCAATCATTTTGCTAACATAATTTTCAGCTTTATTACACTGATCCTCCCCAAATAAAACTCAATTGTTGCTGCACTCAAATTTCTGAACCAGAATTCAATGTTTGGTGAAATAAAGAAGAAGGAAGCATTTAAAGATCCATGATTCATGAAACCCAAGTATAATACATGGAAATGTCTACTGAGATACCTCACAGGTTTTTTAAAGGTGTATTTATTTATAGGTAAAGTACTAAATTAGATTCAGTAAAGTTGAATGTCTGCAGGTTTGAAAGGATTAAATTTTTGCTTTACTAATTTTCAGTCATTCTGGATTGTTGTTTAATACAAAATGTAGATTTCTTCTCTGTTAAATGATTCATGGCTCTGTTGTGGAACAACTGCTAATCTATATATTTCATTTTACATAAGATCTCATGTTTTTACGTCTCCCAAAGAACAATTTTAACAAAGAAAAACATTAATTTAGTGTTCAACGTCTGTCAGCAGCATTTCTAAAAGCTTTTTGAGATTCTCTGCCACTAATGACATTGCGCCAACATTATGGAACAGATTACGCGAATGCACAGAATAAAGTTTCACATAACATGCTTTGATTATTACCCAAATCTCATGAAAAAAGATTCTTCTCAAGCAGGCACTCTTTTTTTGAAAAAAAAAATAATATGCTGGATTAGTTTTACATGCCTTACTATTTATTTATTGAATTTCGTTTCTGTTTTTACTTCATAATGGTATCCTATGGGATACCAAACTAGCATAAAACCACCCATAGCCAGTCATATATCATGCATTTCTTTCATTAGGAATTTAACTTGGCTCTACTTGACAGTATTAGAGGAAAAGAACCAGCAAAGATATTTTTTTTTATCTTTTCCATGACTCAAGACACTTAAAAGGTACAAGTGATACATATATTGGACAGAAGGCGTTTCACATATTCCGAGACTACTTTATGCTTACCAACTGCAGGCATAATTATCAATAATTTTTAAACTAATTCGTTCCTATCAACTGCAGGCATATGGATCAATAGATACATACAGCATATAGCAATAGTTTAAAATACAATGAAATAGTTTAGCTGCAAGCACTGAATTTCAACCAATTCCAGTAGGATAGTATTATAATCAATTAAACCATCTACTAGTAAGACACTGTAGAAATGAAACAAGTGACTAGATACGCAGATTATGAGGTAGTAATCCTTTGCCTGAATTTACTAGATCTTGCACGGTTTCACTGAGGGATAAGGGTGTGGATTTTAACAGCCTCTTCCAGCTTCCCTTGAGCCCCCAGTCGTCAGCATGCCCATACAACACAGTAGCCCCTAATACTGATCCAAAGGGTCAGCAATTATCCCCAACCATTCAGTCCCTTTTCACAGTTTGACTGACAGTTAATTATGTCTGTCCCATTTTTTTTTGGCGGCCACATTTGAGCTCCCCAGATGACAAAAAATAAATCAGTATGCCCCTCCATTGCAGCTGAGGCCTAGCTTGGATTGAATTTAATTTATTCTCCTAAGCCAGGGAATCAGGCCTTCAAAAGGAACAAAACTATCAAGTTTCCCGTGCTAACCAGTATGCAGCACAGTGTGGCAATGGAGGGATTTCTCTTAACCCCTTGGTAGTAGATACACACTGGGACATGTATTTCTCTCTTGTTTATTGCCGTAAAACAGCAGGCTTTGGAAGATGAGGCATTTAGAGCTCTGTTCTCAGACCTAATCTGGAAATGCCTTATATGGATGGATAGAACATCATCTTCATAGGTACAATGCCTTCATTGACATTTTTTGCTTTGCAGAGTTATGTATTTTTTCTCTTATTTTTTAATAACAATGGTAATAATGAATGCCAAAAATAAATAGAGAGAATTATTTCTTACCTCTCTAACCCTACCCTCATCCTAAACATTTTATAAAATGGAATGGAATGTCAAAGGTCCTCTATGGCTCCAAGGTTGAAATAACTGACAGAAGAATAACAAATTAAATGTCTTTCTTTTTGTCCTTGCGCTCAAATATCCATTTGTCTATTTCAAAATGGTCTACCGTAAGAGAAAGCCATTGTACAATAAATAATTCTTACTCTTCCAATTGAAGAGGATTACCTTCTTAGTTACTGCCATGGAAAGAAGTACAAAAAAGGAACCCTGTTTGAATATATAGAGCCCAGAAAGTTTTACATTTTCGACTTAAGCTTATTTTTTCTGATCCTTAGGACAGAGTAATAGATTCACTCCAGAGTGGCTTGTATAGTCTAGCATTAAGCGGTTACCCAGAACACCATGATAACTGGTGTTTAGTATGTTTAAATACTTCACAAAATAAATATGAACCATATGAATAATTCAGACCTCTTCATGACTGTGAGAACTGTATTTGCTAATTCTGCCATAAAATGTAAATACATATATAAATGTAAGTGAATAAATTTAAAATAATCCCAGATGGAGCCAATTTATAATTAATAATGGTAAACAATGCTTTGCATAAACTGTGATACTTGTAGGCTTCTCTACAAGGAGACGTGAGACGGCATTCAAAATCCTCAAAATCAGAATGAAGTTACACAACAACCAGAGGGAATGAATGGAAATTATATAGAGGTGCTTTATATCCAAATGGTGGTGGGATTGTGGAACAAGCTACTCAGCTATGCTGGAAAAGCCAATACCCTGGCTTCTCTTAAGAAATGGCTGGATGAGATCCTTAGATCAATTAACTACCAACTGCCAAATGAGCAAAAAACGGCAGAATGACATCTTCTCCTTTGTAACCTTTTTTGTGTTCTCATTTTCCTATGAACAAGACAAAAAACAAAGCATTCCACATGCAAACACAGTTATTAATATTGTTTTCTTTTTATAATGGACAAACAGTTCACTGGGTTTCCATTGCGTGTAACGAGGGACAGATTACATTCCATTCTCGTATACTGACAATCTTTGAAGACCGGGTCTTCACCCCCTTGATCTTATGCAGTGTTTGCTTTACTTTATTCTGTTTTTTGTCTCATTTTTCGTGCAAAGAATAAAATCTTATCTTGGGGGTTGGGAAAGGCCTGCAGAAAAATCCGGACCGCTAACAGATGCTTTGAATTTGCTGAGATTTTCCTGAGAGAACCATTGGAAAACCTACCAGTATTTCCTGGGATTATCCCTCAGATGGGCGCGCTCTGAGGAGGTCCGCTATGGCTGCCTCTCTCTCTGGGAAAGTGACCCCCACCCGACTCCTCAGAGCACCCTACTAGCCCCTCCCAGAGACAAGACTGGCCTGGGGCCCTACTGCACTTTTTAACACAACCAAACCACTTAACCGCATAGGAAAGGTGCTTGGGAAAGTCAAATATATGAGCACAGGCTTCAGGTTTACCACTCATCTTATAATGTTTTGAGTCCCGCATGCTTTGGAAAAGGCAAAGTCAGATTTCAGTTTTTTTTAACATTAGCATTTGAAATCATAAATCAAAAACTCTAAAAATCATAAGATGTTAAGAGCACAAAACATTTCTTGTGTAATACATATTTTTATCAGGTTAAAAAAAATCTCCTCTCATACTGTTGAAAGATTAACAGTCAATCACTAGATTTCCACAATCTATGATGTCAACAAAACTCTGATGCTTTTAAAATATTCTGGAATTAATTTTAAATAAGAACTATATTACTTGGAACATTGTGAACTGACAGGTACAGCTTTAGATTAAAAATCACAAGCTATTTTAATGGGAGTATAAAACATGTAAATGTAATTTATTCCTTCAAAAGGTTTGTTGATAATCAGCAGATACATAGCTACACCTAGTGGTCATATGGGAGAACAACTATTAATTTGTACTGATGTGTGAAATGGATCCGATTGTGGCCAGCAAGATGGCTGGAATAAACTTTCACTTTTTCTACGTTTTTTCATATTTAGTAGCCAATTACCAGTCATGTTAAAATGTTTAAAGAAAGCAGAAAAGAGTAATGATACTGTATTTCTTGAGACTGCCTGACCTACCAATTACACAACAGTTAATGGGAAATTAAAACTCTAAAGTCCACATTTTCTGAAATAAAAAGAAAGAGAATCATACTACCACTTTCCAATATTTTACTAAAACATTTTACATACACTCCTTGTCTAACATTAAGAATACACAGTAAAAACATAAAAGGTTGTAGCACCTGTTTAAAAAAGAAAAAGAAAAACAATGGTCGCAACACATAGTAGCACAGCACAAATACATAATGTACCTGCCATTTCCCTTCCACATAAAAGATCACAGTATTCCAAACAGTTGGAATGCGATTCTACCTTTCAGTTAAAAGAAATCTAGGAATACCTAAAGGACAAACAATTGATACAGCTGGGAGACAGTGCAGAATTCAAAACCAGATTCTGGCGTTCAACAACATGATTAGGAAATGTTATAATTAAAAGACAAGTTTTTTGCCAAGAATAAATTAAAATAAAAGTGAAACCAGTGATGGTTTCAGATACAGTGAAGCTCATAAAAGGATAAAATGAGAAGTAGGAAAATGAGATGAAGGTGTGTGTGGGGGGGAGACTTAATTAGCATCAAGCTTGGCCATTTCCTGCACATAAATCCCTATACTCTCGCTGTCAAACAGCACAAAGTATACTGTCTTGATTGAAGAGGACATGGTGGAGACAAAGTAGCTGGAGATGGCTTTCAGGATTAGCTGGGCTGCAGTTTGTTTTGGAAAGCCATTCCTAAAAAAGAAAAAAATAAAGAAAAAAGAACAAAGGCAATTGAAGGTGGTGCTTTGCACAGGTTTAGCTGGCATGTCATTTGCACACAGGGGAAGCACACTTGTGTAATTTCTTTCACCTCTGATTTCTTGGAAGTAGTTCTTGGAGGTAGTGTTACTCACAAATCTTTTTTCCCCCCTTTAAGATTCAGGATAAGTGTAAAATGCACTAGTAAGATCTCTTTTAGAATGATGCATGCAATTTTGATAATCATGTTATGAAAAACATATAGTTGCCCTGGGAATCAGTCCAGAGACGGTGACCAAATAATTTTCAGAGCTTAAGGGAATGTCTTGAACTGACAGGCTCAATGAACCCAATTCAAGTATTTAAATCCACTGGAAATTTTCTGATTCATCAATGAAGTACAAACTAGAAGACACAAGAGAAAACTAAGTGAAAGTGCATTTAAAACTGAGAACGGGAGGCATAAAATCACTTTTTTTCACACGAAGGCCTGAAGGAGACTGTGGAACAAGTTACTTAGCATGTAACAGAAATGGATACTTCTTTCAAGAATTAGCTGGATGAAATCCTTAGATCAATAGGCTATTAGCAAATAAATGAGCTGAAAGACTAAATAGCCTATTCCTATTTAAGAAAAAGCTGGATGAGATCCTTGAATCAATTAGCTTTTAACTACCAAACTGGCAAGATGGGCTGAATGGCCTCTGTCTTATGTAACCTTATTTATGTTCTCAAATCTGCATGGAGTTTGTTCTCCCCAAATCATAAGCTTTCCTCCAGGTGTTCTGGTTTTGTACAAAAAACGATGAACTGGCTTTTGTAAAATTTGGCCCTGATCTGATATTGTGCTTGTCTGTATCTGTGTTCGTCCTACGATGGACTGGTGTCCTGTCCAGGTTGTATTCCGCCTTGCGCCCAATGCTTGCTGTGATAGGCTCTAGCTCCCCCTCGAGCCTGAGCTGGATAAGCGGTTATTGAAAGTGATGTGATGATGTGATGTGACCTTTCAAGTTCAAGTTTATTGTCATTATACTCATATACAGGTATATGGTATAACGAAATGCTATTTAGCTAGATCGCAGATGATAAGTAGTAAAAAAACAACAACAATACAATTGTATAATAAAAGAAAGACAACAGGCAGTGCGCAAAAACAACAACAGGTAATGTGCAAAACAACATCAGATGTGCAAAAACATGCATCAACAGGAAGAGATAAAAGGATAGAAAAGTATGGGGAGTGAGCTTTTTGACATGTAAGGCAGAGGTAGATTTCAATGTGTGTTTGAGTTTTTGGTAAGAAAGAAGGCACTGTGAGGTTCAGATCATAGGTGAGAGAGGTGAGAGGCTGGAAGTTTAATAGTTTGATAGTGCAGGGGTAAAAACTGTCAATTCAATTCAAGGTGCTTTATTAGCATGACCGATGGGTACAATTAGTGTTGCCAAAGCAAATAAAAAAATGAAATTCACTGTCTCTGAGTCTGGTAGTCCGGACCCGAACGCTCCGGTACCGTTTTCCAGATGGTAGGGGGTCATACAGTCTGTAGCTGGGGTGTGTGGGGTCTTTGATGATGCTTAGAGCTTTCCTCAAGCACCGCCTGTCATAAATGTCCTGTATAGATGGGAGGGCAACCCTAGTAATGGACTGGGCAGTTTTCACCACCCGTTGTAGGGCTTTGCGGTCAGCAATACTGCAGTTGCCATATCACACTGCGATGCAACCTGTCAGTGTGCTTTCTGTAGTGCATCTGTAATAGTGAAGATCTGGGGTCCTTTGCGCTAGTCAGTAAATTAGACTTATATATTTTCTTCTCTTTCTTGTGTGGGTACATGGATTCCTGTGGAAGGGGGGGCAGCCGCCTTGGCTTTCCTGCTATAACAACTTATCTGTGAATTCCCAAAGCTCAGAACAACATTTCAATGAAATCCCTTTGTGTGTTTTGCCAAAACAGCAAACATTGGGCACCAAGTGTTCTGCTTACTCTTTAGGAAGGCAGAGAACCGGTTTTACCTGCCACTGCCGATTGATGGGAACGCCACCGACTTCAGCTTCTTTTCGTCTGCCAGGGCCAGGCAGTTCTTGACCGTTTTCTCCAGAAGCTCCTCACACTTGTCTGAGCCCCAGCCTGGGCTGTTACAGTGGATGACAAACTTAGCTGGAAGGCCATGACCCGCTGTCAGTGCGGCTGTGTGAAAAAACAACAACAATCAGCTCAGGAAAGGGCTCTTCCAAAATACATTTATACTGCATTCCTTCAGGTGTACCATTCAGTTTATAACTCAGTCAGACTGCTCCGGTTCTTTAATTGAATGCACAGTGATTGCAGTTTGACATCCTATATACAGTCCTTTGTATCCAAGACATAACATTGCCAAAATAACACACAAATAAATTAAATGTATGCTCTGTGCATTGCAGAGAACCAATTGCAAAGCACTGAAATCTTAAGCATGATTCTTCAGAATGAAATAATTATTGTGTGCTTTCCCCAAAACCAAATTTAACTGAAAACAACAAATTCTAATTTTGAAAGGGGAAGAACAGCTTAAATTGAAATTATGAAATTATTTTAAAAAGTTCAATGAAGAGCGATTTCTAAAAAACAACTTGAACTTGTTTTGTATTCTTTTAACAGGGACGTGAGGCTAGAAGGTGTTGTATCTGACTGGAAAGATGCTGGGAATCACTTTTCCAGAGGGACGGGACGTTTAGAATCCACAAGAAAGTGACATTGGAGAAAGAATCTTGGCTTTCATAGACTGTAGTAATTGAGAAGTTCTGTTTATTTTAGTTTCTAACAACTTCTCTTACATCAGCAACCACAGTATTTCTTTGCCAAATCCTAAAAAGCTGTGTGCTGAGAAATGGCCCAATCTAATTTAATTACTTCTATTCACTGCTGTGGGTCTGTTAGATCTATAAATTCAATGTTGATGCAAATCTGAAACACAGATGTATTGCGATTAATGGGATGAATCTGCTATAAATATTTTGCAAAAATACAACTGAACACAAAGAAAATGAACTCTATTCTAATAAGTAGTGCTTGGCGTTCAGCATTTTGTAAAAAAATATTTGAGCATTTTTAAAAAAAATAAGGAAGCATTTTGCTGTCTTCTCTTGAAAGTACAGTAACATCTTATGCTGTCATTCATTTCAGCATCATGAAATTATAGTAACCCCAAAAGACATCCAAATATGTTAAAGTTATTATTACTCACACCCATAAAATGGGTAAAATTCTTCATGAGTATAGCGGTTCACTGCTCCTGACCTTATGCTAGTATTACAGTATTAAAGGTACCTGCGAGTACAGAACTCACCTTGCTGGGATACTGATTAACTACAGGTCAATCCCTACTAAACACAGCTACCCATTAGCTGCAACAAACTGTACAAAAGTATCTTGCTCAAGGACACAACAGCAGGTCACAGAAGGATTTGAATCTGAAACTAACTAGTCTAACCAGAGCCCTAACTCGTACTCAGCACTGACCCCTTATTATTTAACCAGGTGATTAGTAGAAGTGATAACTTAATATAAACAATAATTACTTGCACATCTTGACCTCATCTTTACAGTTTTGTGGGCTCTAAAGTGGGTTTACTTTTAGTGTGCTTATTTGGCAACCCTAAAAGTGTCAAAAATGGTACTGAGGCATTCAAGTAAAAAATAAAAAAGCCAGTTCATTTTTAGTTCATTTTAATTAAGCTAAGTAAATCCAAACTTCTGTCTTTGAAAGAAGTGGCTACTGCTTGGAGACACGATGAACAGGGAGCCAGTTCACAAAGCTGTGAGACTGAAACACACATTCCAGCAGAATTTTGGCAGCCTGTCTGTAAAGAGACCAACAGGGGCCTACAAAATGCCAATGCCTTAATTAAGTGCTTGGATTGAAATCACTGCAACACAAGTGAGGTCATGTGACATCATGTTTGGAAAGTGTGAGCAAACCATTTCCAAGGTGCCTGCAGTATATATGTCACATGTCTGCCAGGGCAGTGGAGGAAAATGTCCTATAAATCCAATATTTTATCTTTGCCTATAAACTCCAAGACAAAGTTGATGTAATACAGCCTTGTGCAAAAGCGACTCAGAACTGGCCACAATAAAAGGTACTCCTGCTTCCAGCTAAAGGAGCCAAGAGGTACCTCCTGCTACATCCAAAGGTCCGTTCTTCTTGCGCAGCTCGCTGATGGCCTCCGTGAACTCCTTGCCTCCTTTCTTCTCCAGGGCATTACCTAAGAAATGACATTCCTGGATCATGGGAAATCAGCCGAGATAAGCAACGTCTGTGTTTGGGTTAAGCAGGTAAGGGATGCTAAAGCAAGCCAGTTCACCCATTTTCACACTGCATTTTGGAACCTCTCTGGACACCACACACACTCCATGTGAAACCACTACTGCATGATCTGAGTACGTACTAATTAAGCCCATCTTTTTCCTAATGAAAACAGAACGCATAACTTTTGTTGGTGAGATTTAAGAGACTGCAAATGTCATTTATAAATTCCTTATAACTTGTTGTATATTAGGATGATTAATAACTTGGTTGGAACAAACCTCTACTAATGATTAATTAACAAAACATGGCTTGTCCTAATATCAATTCTTTATTAGTGGATACTTTTTAATGGGTTGCTATACATTTATAAAATGTCATTTGCAGCTCCCCTTTCCACCTTTTCATTTATCGAAAGAGTTGTCTTTCCATAGAGCTCAACTCCATTCAATGTATGAAAGAGAGCATGCTGCCTCAGCCAGAATCAACATTAACAGAGTGGAAAAATGCAGTGTGTGTTGGTACCCTGAGAGGAGAAGACAAATCTGACTGAAAGTCATTCACACTGCCCACAGTCTGATTCAGAATGCAGATAGTGCTGTGATCCACTAAAATTGTATTAGTCAATCAAATTTAGTTATTGCCATTTCTTTTAAAAGTTAAATGCAAAGCACTTTCTGCACTTCTTCTCTGCTCTTCCAGAACTCATGGAACAAATAGTAATGCAGTATTCTAATTTGTTTTTTGTAAAAGCAGAAAAATAACCTGGCAGCACTTGGGAAAGCAAGGATTTGGTTTTAACCTTTTAAAGGGAAAAGGCAACACAATAAAGCCTTTACATACAAGACAGAGATTAAAAAAAGGTTAAATGATAATAATCCAATTTGATTTGTGAGCAATTATCAAGAAACTCAAGAACTGTAGCAGCTGAAACTACTTCTTAGGCCCTGTGTGTATTTCTTTCACCAATAACAAGCTTGTGTACTTCAAATTATTGCATAAGGACCTCCATGTGCCATGTGTAGAAACCCTGCAGAAAGTATGAAGGGAAAGAAGATGCACTTCTTCTTTTATTGGAAACACATGCTAATATAGATTAAATACATACAAATCTGTGCAAGTAGTATCTGGAAGAGGGAAGAAGATGCACTGAAAGGAACGCCCCTCAAAGAACTGAGGCTGGCTGGCATCAGCACAAACAGAGAGTGCCACAGTGAGAAAATTCCATTACCTACTTCACCACCAGTGTAGAGGTCGGAATTGGTCGGGTGAACAACAGCGTCGCTGTCGATGTTGGCAATGTCAGCCTGCACAACTTGCAACTATAACAACAACAGGCAAATAACAGGGCATCAACCACTGGGGGAAGGTAAGCCAAATGGGAAAAACTCAAAGAAATTCCTCCCAGGGCAGGCGCCTCCTTTATAAGATGTACAAGAAAAGAGAGGGCAGATCACAAAAGAATCAAATTGTGTCTAATGGAGCATGATATCCTTTAAGATGGTCTAAGACACAACAGAGTACAATGAAATGCTATGAGTGGGTTTAAACTTTTCTGCGGAGATTTAGCAAAATCCTTGAAAGCTGACAAAAACAAAATTCAGGTTGATTTTCTTTATTGTCTCTTAACAAGTAAGAGACCAAAGTAATACAATATCTACAGTACAAAGCCATTTGTATTGTATTATTTATATTTATATTAATAATTGTATTATTAATTATACTTGGATAGATCATTTAAAGACGTTCTTTAAAGGATTTTTCAAATCCATACAGCACAAAATGTCTTTGGCGTAACTTAGAGCTGACATGGAATGAATGGAAAACAATTTCTTGAGAATTACAACTCATGGTAATTAAGATGTCTGTGAAGGTGCTTCCTAATTCTTTTTAATCTACTCCTTGTAATGTTCACAAAAAATAAACTGAATGAGAGGTTCAAGGATCATTTCAGGAGAAATAAATCAAATAGTGTATTTTTAATGTTTTAACAGTTTTACTCTTCTGGAAATATGAAACTTATATTTAACACACTCTCATTTGCTCATTTTCCTGCTTTATACTACTAGAGCATCTAGCAATATATGCAAGGACTTTGCAGTTTGCAGAACAATCTGCCAATCCAGAGATTATTTGAAATTGAAACTACATGTAAGATTCCACATGGGGAACAACATGGGTATCTCAAGGTGTATTTGTACTGAAGATTGTTTTGATTCTTTTCCTGGCAGCTCTAAGTCAGTGGTGAGAAATGGCCATGCCCCATTTACCTAGATCATCTTTAAGGTCAATGTCAGCATTGGTGGGATTGATTATACCCTCCACGTCAAAGCCAGCCAAGTTACTGATTTCACTGTGAATAAGGTTCAGCTGAAAAGAAAGCATGCCGCAGGGAAGAGCAGCACAGTTAGCACTTTCACAAAGGAACCTTGTAAAGCAGCAAAATCAAACCAATTCAGCATAAAATGAACAAATAAATAGCAAGAGCGCAAAAGTATACCCATTAAAAACGATATTCCTCCATTGTGAAGGATTTTTTTTCACTCTTGTTGTATTATATGGTCACTCACACCATAAGTGTCAGTACTGGTAAATGAACTTGGTTAACACCACCTTTGTTTCATTATTTTAGAGTAATCCACTATCAGAACTCTTTTTCTATTGCATGTTCATTTGGCCTTATACATTTGAGAAATTGAAAAAAAGACAATTTTCTGCTTTTGTAAAGTGTAAGGGGTTGTATCGCTGAATACACAACTGTGTATGTTCTGCTATATAAACTGTATAAACTGTGCTCTGCTACATAAACTGTGAGCACAAATACTACTGTATATAAAAACCAAAGAATATGGATGCATATTCTATAATACCATATATTTTCTTTACAAAATATATCTCCTGTGTTATCCAATGAAGGGACGATTTCTTAAGAATATTGTAATTTTCAATAACAACTTTAGTTAACATTTCCTAAGTGGTATTGAGGCATACTGTATACAGCTTTTAATATATAAGACCAAACATTTAACTAATATAGTGGACATCTCATTTTTATGTAAATGTTAATGTCAGTAAAATAAGCAGAATTAACAATATAAAAGTAGTAGCACTGTTCAGTCAGAATCTAATAGCACAAACATCATGCAGCAAAGACATTTATATTCAAAACCCCTATTCCACATCTTCTGTAGGATTTCAACATTGCCTTTCTACCCTATTACAGTGGAAATTTAACTTTACATAAACAGTGCAGAGAGAAAGCAGGAAATAGTCAAGGACTGGCCATACTTGGAAACAGGTTTCTAGGTGAAAGGTTGACAATGCAGCCACCCAGTGAATTAACTTAAGACTTCATTGGCTGCTCTTTTGTAGCCAACATTTTTGAAAGCTTTAGTAAATATTTATACACGTGAAAGTTAAAAACTGGATAAGTATAAAAAGTAAAGTCAGCCATGTCACTTTAATTTCCAGTGGATCAATATGTAAGTATGCATTACAAATTGGACAAATAGTAATTGTCAAAAGCTGCACAAAAAATCTTTTAATATTTAGATGCGTATGCATTCTCTGTGTGTAATTTATTGGTTTTATAGTTCTAGGTCTGAACTGAACATAATTTCCCCCCCTCAATTTAATTAGCTTGTCTTCAGCATTAACCTTGGTGCACTTGTTTTTCAGACTACATGAGGAGGAATGCGTCTTCTATTCACTGAAGTGGAGCTTTCTCTAGAATTATCTCCAAGTGGATGAGAGTTCAATTAATGTGCAGCTGTCCAGATGAGGAGGAAGTCAGAGGCAGCTTCACTTCATTCAGATTTACTGAGGATGGGCTGTAGACTACAAGTTATGGCATTTTTCAATGTAAATGAAAGCAGATGCTGTAAATTTACTGGAAAAGGGGCATTTACAGGAAAAGTGTGAATTAATTGGAAGTGCTTGACAAGAGTGAAGGAAAAATTAGTACCTTTTGTCCTAGGAAGAGGCTCTTGGTGGACAGGATGGTGAACCCATCTGCAGGAGTGCCTTCAGTAGTGCTGTCTGCGCTGGCTGCTTTGCTCACCTCGCCCTGTTTCTTCTGGAGTAATACAAGAGCAATTAATGGACAGAGAGACGTATTGCTTGGGTGATGACAGTGGTATACCAGTATATTTATAAATTCTCACACCCTTCTTCTTTATTCTTAGCAGAAAATGCCAACACGTAATTATGCATGTGTGGTGATACATCCATCAATTTTCTAACCATTTCCTCCAATTCATGGTCACGGGGGAGCCAGAGCCTATCCCGGCAAGGAACACGAGCAAGGCAGGGTACATCCTGCACTGGCCAGTCCATAACAAGGAGCACATAGACGGAGACAGAAATACACACTCACACCTAGAGCCTGCTTTCTCAGAAACCAATTAAACTACCAGTATGTTTTTGGACTATGGGAGGAAACTGGAACACCCAGAGGAAACCAACATGAACTTGGGGAGAACATACAAACTTCAGGCAGGCAGCAGCCCAGGTTCGGAACTGAACCCAGGGCTCTAGCACTGAGAGGCTAACCACTGTGCCACCGAGTGTTGATACAATTACAATTATTAAGAAATAATGACACACAGTTTCGTCTCCTGCTGTTCTAAAGGACTGGCATAAGGAGAATGATCTTATGCACTACTTTTGCAAGTAGGCATTTTTTAACTATTTTGGTATGAATTCATGCCTCTAAACAAAGTTATGATGTTCCTTAAAGAAAAGGCATTGCATCAAAGGTGGAGGTGAGTGATGTCTGGCTTACCTTGGACTTCCCGGCTCCCTTTCTGCCCCCTGCCTTCTTTGCTGTCGATTTCTTCACAGGAGAAGACTTAGATTTCTTGACTGGAGGCGGGGTTATGATGGCTTCCAGTTTCCCCTTGGATCCTCGCTTTTTAGCCAACAGCTCTGGATGAATATTAGGCAGAACGCCCCCCGCAGCTATTGTTACTCCCTTCAGCAGCTATGAATGGGAAAACACACTATGAAGGAATGCTTTTTTTAAATGAGGAGGTAAAATACTGGAAACACAAAAGGGCGCATGTCCATTCAAGAAGAATCACATAAATATCTTTGGACACTAAGGAAGTTTCCATTTTGCACAGAATATTATTGCTGGTAGAACACATTACAATCTTTTTTTCTCTTCTATTTTAGGCCCTGTGAAATGCATAAGACCTAGGCACAAAAAAATGGTTTGTGTCTGTACCACTATAAAAAACCAAGACTCTGTACTTTACAAAATATTCAGATTCAAATACCTACTGATTGCAACATACACATGAGTGATGTAAAATGATGTTACATCACGAACAAAGCTAAGTTCCTTTACTGTTTTCAGATTTAAGTACATTTCTATGATACCGAGTCTAGTGTTTTAGCTTGAGGTTAATGTTCTCCACAGAGCACTTGTGACCCTGGCCCTTATATTTAATTCTGAATATTGAAAATCAAGTGGTGGGAAATATAATTCCAAATTAGAGTGCCAGCCTTGGCTTATAGTGCCGGAAACCTATCATAATTATGGTCTTAAAACACCAAAAGTAACACCTGGTTGAGTTCTTCATCATTTGCGATAGCCAACAGGATATGCCTGGGAGTGACCCGTCCTTTTTTGTTATCCCGGGCAGCATTCCCAGCTAGCTCCAAGATTTCAGCTGAAACATAAAATTAAAGGAAATTATAATTCATTTCTAAGAACAGCATTTTAAGGGACTCAAATATACAAAAACCCAAGAAATTCAACATTTGAGCTTTTTTGTCCCTTCGTGTGTGTCTCATTGCCTCTCTATTGAGTATATTTCCTGAGAGGATTATGTATAATTATTCTTATAAACCAAGCTTACTGCAAGGAGGATGTACTGCGTGTCCAACAGAAAGTGCATTCTCACAGCAAAATAAGATATATTCCACTCTTTAATACATTTAAATGTTTAACTTTGGTAATGTCTTGATAAAATGAAAGTGACACTAATACTCATACTAATTGATTTAAAAAAAGTTGATATAAAAAACTGTAAATCAAGTCAGGGATTCAGTGTTTCAAAACAGCATATTTAAAAGGGATAAAAAAACTTGTTAGAAAATTAACAAGCTAACCTAATGTGGGTGAACAATATCCAAGCAATTCTCCAAAATGCATCAAAGCATTTTTCACATCAGATAGGCCTTGTTATCATCACTCACCACCTAGTATTGTGGATTATCACATGTAAAACAACTGTGTTTACACATTCCTGTGTAGTTTAAATGTTTATCAGTGGTGTTTAAGTGACTTCTCTGTAGAAACACATGAGAACAGCTGTGAACAAGCCTTTCAACCCTAATCACTATTTGTAAAGACCATTTTAAGCACTGCTGTAGTGTATTTCTTGCTACTGTGAATTTATAATAACCTCCAAACAAAAACAAAACATGTTTAATGCAATATCCTTTACTAATTGACATTTCTTGAGTAAGCAGGACTTAAGATCTGATTTTCTACATGGATTACCTTAGATAATTAGATTATTTTTGTTTTTGGCACAGCCCTTTTCAGGGTACTACATGAACCTTTTTATTTTCAACCTCAACAAGGCAGCAAACAAAGAAATATACATGTGAAACAAAACTGAAAAAAAGTGAAATGGCCTCTATTGCTTTAAGTATTATTTGTAACTAAACATATATGTATTCAATATTTAATTCTGGATATATATCTATATTGATTAGGTATCTGGTACTTTTTGGATATATAAAAAATGAACTATTTATTGTAATATAAATGAAACAGGAGATAAAAAACTCCTAAGATCAAAGTACAGAGAGAGTTGCATAGTTCTCACCAGTTAGGTATTCCAGGACTGCTGCCATGTAAACTGGGGCTCCTACTCCAATCCTATATTTGGGGTGCCCCTTCTTAATGTAGCGCAGCATTCTGCCCACAGGGAAAATAACCCCAGCCTTCGCAGACCGAGATGTCTTTGTAGTCTTCTTCTTTCCTCCTCGGCTAGACATAGTGCTGTTGCCAGTCTGAAATTGTAGGTCTGGAGAAGTGAAAAAAACTCAATGCCACGGAAACTAATGTTCTGTTTACTCTCCTCAACATGTCTGTACAGATATTTATTGAAATACCTAACAAGAGCATTTTAGTGGGGGTAAAAACACTTTCACAGTTTCCGATTTAGCAGTATAATTTGCCAGCAGCTTTATGATCCTGCAACTCACAACTAACAACCTACTGATGCTAAGCAGGTGTGAGTCCTGTCAGTACCTGGATGGATGACCTCCTGGCAAAGCTAAGGTTGCTGCTGGAAGTGGTGTTAGTGGTGTCAGTGGGGTCAGCAGGGCGCACTCACCCTAAAGTCTGTGTGAGCACTAATGCCCCAGTGTAGTGATGGGGACATAGCCCAAGGGCCCAGTCCTTTGTACGAGATGCAAACACCGAGGTCCAGACTCTCTGTGGTCATTAAAAATTCCTGGATGTTTCTCGAAATAAGTAGGGGTCTTACCCTTGCATCCTGTCCAAATTTTCCCTAGGCCTTTACAAATCATGGCCTCCTAATAATCTATGAATTGGCTTCATCACTCTGTTCTGCTCTCCACTGATAGCTGGTGTGTGGTGAGTATTCTGGCATACTATGCCTGCCATCCAGGTGATGGCTGCACTTTGGTGGTGGTGGGGAGTCCCCATTACATGTAAAGGTCTTTTGAGTGAAGTCTCCAGAAAAGTGCTATATAATTGTAAGATTTTTAAAAATAAATTAATGAATTATTATGATGATCATTATTATGTGTTGCAGACATACAAGTATCAAACACATTTTTCACAAAAAAGTTCTGAATTTTGTTCAGCATCTTAAAAAAAGATAAATTTAATTTTTTTCTCTCTTTCTCAAACATATCCATATCACCTTTTCCAGCAATAGCACAAGTATGTAAAATCATAATATACTTGTAGAAATATGGCCTAAATGTAAAACACAAGCAGCGCTTTCATTTATTTAAGAGGTCACAGTCCTGTAAATTGTGAACATTTTAGTTTAATTATATTGACCTTTTTAAAATAGATCTCAGTTAAATAATTTAAAAGAGAATGCGGTGGTTTACTACACCGGTAACAATTAGATACTGCTGTAATAAAATATGAGTTTAATTCCTATATACTGTAGATCACATTCTGACTGATCTATGTCTTCCTATTACAGGCTTTACCTGTCTGGCTTTTGTTTAGATGCATTTTAATTCTCTACTTCCTCAGGGGCACACTTGCCTTTCAGGTACAGGTTGCTAGGCAACAGCTTCTTAACTCCCAAATGACTAGTCTTTTGTTTAAGTGCCTCATGTGGAGTTTACAAATTACACCACTAATTTTACAGAGTAACAATAGATTACAACACATTAAGTAAAAGAAAATATTTAAAATGTGTCATATAACAACAATTATGATATAATAATATATAATAGTGTATACTAAATATCTAATTAGCAATAAGAGATTTCTGGAGGGACATAAAAAATAAAAACATCTCACATATGAGTTATGAAAGCAACGTCTATAATGTATATGCTAACTCGTCAGCAACGCAAACATGTCACTTCAAATGTAAATCGTGGGTTACAGATTACTAAAAGGGATTACTTCTGTGAGCAGTAAAAATGTAAATAGATTACTCACAGCTACAATATTGTAGCTACATTTAATACATGCAATACTATAGCTACAGATATACTGATTAATAAGACAGGAATTAGTATTAAAACACATAACAATAAGAGAAAAATAGAGAGGAAAACAGCTGAATACCAGGTTTTATATAAACATCAGTGTAAGGTACTTAATTAAAATTCCAGGGTCCTCGGAGAAAAGCATTTTGTGCAACATGAAGTAGATAACTGCTGTTTTTGTGTGACAGAAATGTTTTGTATTCAGGTATCACTTTTTTCAAGCGTCTTCAATTCTGCATGGTTTTTGAATGATCAGAATCACTGAGTTAATACACTTTATATAAAACGTTGGTTACTTTATTTGCATTCTAGTCAATGTTTTATAACAAATAAAACGTTATTATACAATTCGAAGAGGCCAAATATTGGTACCACATTCTAAAGTTAATACAGAATTAAAAACGGTATTACTATTATATTATAAAACGGTAAACACTGATTTTTTTGTTACTGTCACTGTCACTGTCTTTGGCTGTAGCAAATATAAAAATGAACATCAGAAATACGAATGTGCAAAGTGTACTACATTAACCATAATATTCTGTAGACACGAACTATTTTCTCCCCTCAGGATGTATAGCTAAAGGGTATTAAAAGTAAACAGAAAACATACTGTTCTATATTACCACTTTCTCATTTTTCACGTTTTTCCATCTTATGATATAAAGTATAATTAATATATAGATATTTATATGTTGTTAAATATGCATATTACATAAAACAAAAAAAATGAAATACTGGAAATAATGTCGTGTTAGAAACTAGAATGGTTCGGTTTCCGGGTTTTGAAATGTTACCATAAAAGAAATATACAAAATATTACCAAACATTAATGACACAAATAATGAGACAACAATCTGTGTTATACATGACACATGTTTTCTCCCGCAAAGATATTACGCAGCAGTATGCTTTTTGTTTTCATCAGCGGGGCTGCGATTCTGCTAAACATAAATGTAGCCTATAAATACAATTCAAGTCACACGGCCCTGATCTACAAGTAAAATGGGTAGACTGGGTTAAAGACGTGACTGGTAAGGCAGATGATGTTTTTCCAGAAAAAAAATGCGGCGTTTGATTTTTCAGGGCGAAACAGGTGTAAATTAATATCAAAGAATGTCAGTTACTTACAGAATAAAGCACAGCAATATGTCTACTGTCTCCTGCAGCTCCAATAAAACAAGCCTGGGCAGTGTCTCCGATTCCCACAATCCATAGCGACCTATCTATGTAACTGCTCTCTAAAGAGGAAGCAGTTACTAGCATTTCGCTGTAATTAACCGGAATCTTGATAAATGCTCAACAGCTGGTGCCGGTATTAATGTTTTGATTGCAAGTAGACTCAACTAAACACTTTCTTTCATGTACAATATTATTTAATTTGAATTAGAAGTAAGTATACTCTGTTTTATTGACTTTCGTTTAACCTTAAAATCGGTCAACAAACGAGGCTTTTCGTTGAGCAGACATAAAAGCAGGTTTCAAAGTCTGCCTTTATTGATCACAACATAGTTATGTTTAAAATAAACGTGTTTCACTTGGGCAAATAGTCTGCATTGCTAAGCAACAAAAATAATATTCAGGTTAAGTGGGTATTTGCGTCTGTAAGTCTGTAAAGCCTTAACAAATGCATAACGAAATACTGTAGTAGGCAATTTAAATGCAAAATTAACCTTGAGATTGAAGCTAAACGTCTTACAATGTTCTTTTTAAAATACAGTGTCTTTCTTTATTAAATGGCGTTGTTGAAATATATTTTAGAATACCGGACTATTTATAATTTATTGGACACTATTATTGAACCGCATTTTTAATTAGCATTTACGCCAGCAGGTGGAGACACACCTACTGGTGCAGTAAGACTAAGAGGCAGCTACAGTATAAGCGTTTGTGTTTTCCAATGTCTTTTTTCAATCCTCGGATTGCATACGGTAGAGAAGGAAATATATTAAACAAATATGAATGGGATTTTACATTACAATTTTTACAATTTTACAATTATTTTATATGATAATTATTTATATGAAATATTTAAGATTTTAATAGCAATGAATTCAACTCGAATTTCTTTGCTAAACCCTGCTGTCTCCAAAGTACAATTTAAAAGTAAATCTCTGGAACAGATACAACAATCAGGCTTCCTGGAGTGGCACTGGAGTGGCACTATTTTCTATTTCTTGACAGCTGTTTTCATAAATTGTGTTTAATACTTCCTATTTGATGCCCACAGGGGATTTCAGAGAATTATGTTAGAAGTACATTGCTAAAGAGGAACTAAAAAATAGCCCATTACTTGTTACAAATTTTATTCATTGTAGTATACATTTTAAAAAGAGACAAAATTACAAAACAAAATCTTTAAAAAATCAGTGAGTTGTCTTATGTTTGCAAAATATTACATTTGATTTTTGGTAAATTGGTCAAACTCACCTCACAATTCTAAGATATATTTTGTAATATCACAAATAATTTGTCAGAAAAGCCAGACATCCCAAACAGTTAATGTAAAAAGGAGATGGACTGAAAATCAAATAAAAGGTTTTAATAAACTTTTTGAGTAAGCATGATAATGAATTTCCATTCTGCCTTAAGACGTGATCGCTCAATTCATTAAATGGCTGATCATTTGCATCATTTGCTTGATCGTTTGAAAAGAATATTTTCAATATTAAATGAAAAGATTTAATGGGGAATGAGTGAAGTTATAAAGTTTTATAACCATGATACAGTCTAAATTTGTCTACTCTCTAGGGGTTTCAGGTACAGAAATACAATCCTAACCGTACCCTTACACATATTGATTTATCCAATACAGGGGGAGCCAGAAAGCAACAGGTGCAAGGCACGATATAACTTGAATGGGACAGCAGCACATCATGGGGCACACACAGACACAGACAAACCAGGGCCAGCTCTCCCAGAAGCAAATTAACCTAGCAGTGTATCATTGGGCTGTGGGAGGAAACCCACACAAACACAGGGAGAACAAAAACCCGCTGACAGATTTGACTTTTCCAGTTTTGCTCTGATTCCTTGTGAATTTTCATCTCACTCCACTGGGAAGATAACACAGACCACAAACCTTTTAACTTAATATTAATAAGAGATACACTGACAAAATCTGGGAATAAAAGAACTTTGAAGAGTTTAGGGCAGCACAGTTGTTAGAATTGCTGCTTCACAGTTCTGGGAGGACATCCGCATAAACGTGGGGAAAACATAGAAACTCTACACAGATAGCACTCAAGGTGCAGAATTGATTCCAAGGCCCCAGCACTTCAAGACAGCAATGCTACCCACCATGTGACACCATTTGGCATTATTGACAAGATCTGAAGCCCCTCATCATAATCAGCTTAAGCTAGAGAACAGATACAACTTATGTGTACCCTCCACTGTACAACACAGGTTCAAGCAAGGAGCTGTGTCAGTGTATGAGCTCTAAAGGAACAAGTAGAAGATAATTCAAAGCTGGAAGTAGAATTATAAACAACAATACTGAACCTTTCTTTTTTCTTCTTTCATTCTACCTGCCTGTTTATTTATGCTGAACAACAGTTGACCAGCAACGCTACATTTCTTATTATCTTATTCCTGTTGGCTCTCTGAGCCTTGTTATACAGTAGGTGTTATATTGAATTCCAAGAAGAAGCTTGAGCTATAATGGCTGTAAAGAATCCTATGAACAATAAGACAATTCAGCATTTTGGTTGAATTATTTAAAACTACAGACATTTCTACAAAAAACTACAAAAATACAAGAAAACATTAATAAGAAACCTGATTAAGATATAGCTTGCTAAATATAATTACAGCATGATATTGTTTTATCTCTTATAAGATAGTTTACATATTTTACTCATACAAATAAAGATACACTGTATGGAGGTTATGAATTTAGAAAAACTATTTTAAAATGTGTTGCTCTTAATTATGTATAATGTATGTACATTATCTGGCTTATTTATGTAAATGTATTAATGAAATGTCACAGAATGTATTGTTTCATTCTTAAATCAGATTTAGTAAACTCTTAATGAAAATATTATTGTTATTAATAATAATAGTAATAATAATCACAATTTATGAATGTATAAAATATTAGAAAATGTATTTAATGACCTATAGTTATATACAGTAGCTATTATTTATTAAATGAAAATTGTATGCATTGTATAATAGAGTTTATTTAAATGTTTAAAAAGAATATTTTTCTCTCACAGCTATAATATTTGTTTTTGGAACTCAGAAAAGGTATTATTTACAGTTTCATGCCCCAGTAAATATTTTGGATCCCATGCCTGTTACTACATACATTCAGAACTATGTTACTAAAGTAGAGCAGTACAGTGGTTAGTATTGCTGTCTCATGGCGCAAGGCTCTATTCTGGACTTGGGGTGCTATCTGTATGGAATGTATTTGCTCTCCACATTTGGGTTTCCTCTGGCTCCACTGTGACCCCAAAATGGAAGAAGCGATTACAAAGTAAATGAATGAAAATAAAGGCTTTAGTAACTTTTATGGGGTTGATCCTTTTGACAGTGATGTTTATGTTCACTTTTTTCATAGACAGAATTATTCGATTTCTGGAGTTTGCTTCTTTCTACTAAAGTCTTGCTGTTTTTCACTAGCACTAAGTAGAAGAAGTTTCTATGAGATGTTTCCATTATCTTTCTTAAAACTGAGTTATTTAATGGAAATTGTAGCTCAAAGGTGACAAATGTATTGAAGCCAAGTACTATCAGTAGGTATCACTTTCTTCATTGTACCTAAACTTCTAAACTTCTATGTCCCTAATTGTTTTGTTAACATGTGCTGTTGTTCTCTTTTTATAACATCCTATGAACTGTCAAATGTTGAAATATGAGTACTGGGCTGGTCTTAGCACATTTCTTTAAGTGTTCTTCAAAGTGATTTAAAGTAATCAATTTTATGTCACTACACTTCAGTATGGATGGCTATTCTCTTTTTAGATGAGTACTCTTCTTGCTTTCACTTATTGGAATCCCAGCAAATGCCATTGTTGTGGCAACATCTACACATGCCGACATGTGTGGCGTCCAGATCAGTCCAGTGGAGAAGGACAATCTTGCTTGGCATTGGTTAATGTTATCTTGATTGTGAGTCTGGGGATCCCATATTGCCCATCTTTACCTATATTTGGAGAAACCAGTGCACTTTTCAGTGATCCTGCCTGCAAATGTTTAATCTACTTTTACAGGGTTTCCAGAGCAGTGGAAACCAGTTTAAATCCTCAGCTGCTTTAAATTCTTGAAAATCATTCCACCAATCTATGGATTGTCCAGCTACAAAAATAAAATATCGGCCGTTTTGATGGAACTCAAAATTCTTCAGAAAGAGCAGAGCAGTCAAGACAGTTGTTGTTCTGGAGTCACTTTTCATCTTATTCTTTGGCCTGGAGAACACCTTTTTGTTGTACCCCTTAACAGGCAGCACAATATATTTTTTTCTCTGATACGGCCAGCAGCCATATCACCCTGCAACTCACACCTGGCAACCCACTGAAGCTCAGCAGGTGTGAGCCTGGTCAGTACCTGGATGGGAGACCTCCTGGGAAAAACTAAGGTTGCTGCTGGAAGAGGTGTTAGTGGGGCCAGCAGG